GCGTGCCCGATTTTCATATTACTCCTCGACGGAGATTTCAGGGCGTCATGTGATTAGCTTTTATCCAATCAGCAACTTACAAATTTGTCTGAAGCGGGATAAAATCCTTTATTAGGACAACGCCAAGCGTTTGGTGAATTAAAGTAAACGTTCGGGACCTTAAAAATCGAGGATCTGTGTCTCGACTGGTGTCGGCATGATAACGACTCCTCACTTCTCTATGGTTCTGAGTGCCAAGTAAATTTGAAGCCTTTCACCTGTAAATGAAGACGTCTCTTTATGAGTGAAAAATTAATCAATCAAAAATATAAAACGTTTACAGACAAACGGACAGACAAATGAACAAGGCAATGATGAGAAAAAATTCAACAGAACTTTCAGCTTAGGTAGGCTTTCAATTTGATTTTCAATTAAATTTCCAAAAAAATATTAATGCTCAAAACATTTTGTTTTGGTCTTTCTATTTTTGTTTTGCCTTCAGAGGTGTCATATCGATCGATGATGAAATAGTCAATATAAAGATCCAGTAATGGTGTTGCTAATAGTTGATATCGCTCTTTCTGTATTACATTGTATCAGTAAAAAGAGATAATATGATTGGCTAGCTGAATTGCTCTCGGAAAAAAATGAACGATGTTTTAAAGTACAAAAGTTCAATTAACCCACGATATCTATCTGAGTCGACAACATAAAATGAGTAACAAAATTCGATCTTTTGAAGCTTTTAAGGAAGAGTACAGTAATTAATGTAATTACGTAAGGTTGTTGGATTTAAGGACCAGGAACATAAAATTCCCCACAACTGGAATTAATTTACCAAATCTTAATATAAAGGAAAATGGAACTCTTTTTATGGCAATTCCTTGAAGAAAATTGCTAAGAGAGATTAATGAAATCGTAAATAGTGGAAGGATTTACTGCATACTCATTAGCATGGGACGGACTTATGTATCAGGTGTGCGGTAAATTTTATAGATTACCGAAGGGTCAATCCTCAGTTTTGTCCAAAGGTTTTAAAGATCCAGGTTCACGTTATGCATTAATGGCCCTGTCCTTATTTCAATTAATAAACTATCTCTCTCTTTTGTTTATCAAAGTAAAGTAGAGACTTGGTGCTTTCTTTTCCCATAATAAAATTTTTTTTTGAGAATCAAAGTATTGAAATACAGGCTTTGAGAAAATGCATTGTTCTTGAATTTTGCAGAAAGCACGCGTATTTGATTACTTTCAGCAAAGATTTAAAATATGAGCAGCTTACGATCTAAAAATGAAAACATGCTTTTGAATCTTCAGAAATAGGTTTTTGAATATGTAACTGCATATTTTGGATCAGAGGTTGTGCTCTATATAAAATACTGAAAAAATCCCTCAATTTTAGGCCTTTTTGTAAACGAATTTACAGGATATAAGGAAAAAAACGAATTTTATGACGTCATAATGCATTGACTAAAGGAAAACTTACGTCAGGTTCAATAAATAAATGGTTGTCAACAGTCCAAGTGATAAATACTGCATTTTTAACCTTAACTGAGCAGTTTTGATTTTTCAGAAATCTCAGGGCAAAAAAAAAAAAAAAAAAAAAGAAAAAAAAAGAAAAAAAAGCCGATTAGTGGCTCTTGCTCTATTCCCGAGATTAAAGTATTGCATATTCTTTTTTATCATCAATGTCGCATCTATTTTTACTAGTTTGCAATTTCCTGAGCAGATTAAACAATATTGTTTAAATTCATCATGTTATGTAAAAGAGGGATTTGGGAAACCCTTTTTTGGTTCTTTTTTTTAATCAATAAGATACTGTTCGGAATGCTGCGACAGATCTCTTGATCTCTTACTTGATAAAGATAATAACTAGCAACTGCTCTTTCGCCAACCTCTACGCAGTTCGAAGGGAAAGTTGTAGTGTTTTTTGAATAATATACCTTAAAATTTGATGGTAGGCGTTAAAACGATAAGATCCCTCACTTCCCAATGGCCTCAGGTGCCGAGTATAGGTTCATATAGACTTGAAGAAGGTCATTGATATTTGGTGAAACCGCAGCACAGTTAAGGTTACAAAAAGGAGGCGGAGCCTAATTTGTACGGGAAAACTTGACTATGACCTCAATATGATTGCAAATTAACAAGTGGGACGCAAAACAACATACCAGCAATCAATGGATGATTCGGTGGACACATCATGAAAAAAATTAATACCTCCGCAATGGGAACTAATGGACCACCCTTAAGACAGTTTTTTTCCTTGTATTGTATTAACTCGTGCAAATGCTAAAAAAATGCTGGTGGATTTTATAAGCTATACTTTTGCTGTTTGAGGTTGTCTATTTACAAAAAATGATTCACCATCGCGGAGTATCGTCTTAGACATACAATATAATAAAGGATATGGAGATAACGAACAGTATTTAATATCAAAGTCCATAAAACATTACAAATTAGGAGCAGAGCAAACGCGGACTTCCAAAAGATCAGAGGTGGGATCAGGTGCTATGGAGGAGTGAACATCCCCTGCCTACCCGTCATACCTGCAGTGTGCTCCTTGCCATAATCAGGAAATAACGGAAAATAAGGATTAAATTTATTCACTTTTTTCGAGCTTTAAACGAATGACTTTTTATAAATTGAATAATTTTGTAATTATCTTTACTTTATCATTGAGATAAACAAGGTAGCCCTTATTAATGTTAATGATTGAAAAATATTACAAAAATGATAATCAAATATCACAATTCCATCCAAAACTTCAATTATAAAAAATGCTTCACTGGAAAAAATGCACACAACAGCGTAACTATATGGAAGAAATCAATATGCAGATGTGCATGCTTATTTAAGTGAAGAGATAATCGTGGTGAACATTAAAACTACGAAGAAAGGTTTTCCACGAAAGAGGGGAAAATTGTTGTATACTTCCATCAAAGTAATTTCAGAAGAAAAGGGTCCTGCAAGAAGTGTAGAATTTTAAATCTCAAGAAAAAAGACTGTTAAAATTTTAAAGCCAACTTTAATACCAAAATAATATGTGATTTATCCGAAAAACTAGTAAGATAAATTATGGATACTGGCTTTCGTACTTTTCAACTGTTTTTCTGGGGAATCGTGAAGGAAGATTAAAAATTATTTTAGAATCAGATAGGACACCCTTTTTTTGTTGTATGTATATTTCCAAAAATATTTGAAGAGGATTGAGAACTCGAGTACAGAAATAAGTATGTCAGGATATTTAGAGTAGCCTTCCTGTACAAATAGGGGACCTGCCTGTCGAAATTCAGTTGCATTCCCAGTGGGCTTGACTATTTGGTAAGTCATTTTGTATTACTAGTATTTAGAAAGAAATGGTAAAGAAACGACAGAGTAATTATTTGGTATCTTACTCTGCGTAAATAAAATAATGAACCTCGAACTATTATAATATAATGCTATAATATAAAAATTTATAGTGTAATAGTAATCTAAATGTTGCAGAAAAAACAATAATCCATGTAATTTATGCAGTTTTTGTCTGCAACGTAAATCTTACTAAGTAATAATGAAAGACATTGAATATTTTTTTTTATGATTTCTGTAAAATAATAAAAAAAGGTAAGATCAAGTACATATAGATAAGACATTATATTATTGATAATTATTACATACTTAGTAATAAATACAGGGTTTTTACATATGCGATATGGCTGACGTCATAATAGCCCTGCAGGGCTGATATGGATTTGCGGGGCTAATATAGGTTATTAGCCCTGCAGGGCTGATACGGATCAATATCACACCCCTAGTAAATTAAACCTCAAAAACAGTACTTGTGATCATACACATATTTTGGGGGTTACATTATTCTCTTAATTTTAACTTTTTGAATGTAATGATAATCTAACTGATAAATTATAGATTATTTTAAAATTACGGATTAAGGACATTTGAAATAGAAGTAGATGCAGAAACAACCCGAAACAGTATGAGACAATAGACTGTGTACATTTTAAGACGTCCGTGCATGATTGTTTACTTGTTTTCTTTTCAGCTTAATGTGTTCTGTATTTTATTACTAAGTATGTAATAAATATGATAAAACATACCCTTTGCCACATCACATCCTGTATCAGCCCTCGGGCCTTCGGCCCTATGGCTGATATTGGTGTCTCGGGCTGATACAGGATGTGATATGGAAAAGGGCATGTATTATTCTCTATGTACATCACAAGAGTTTCAAATGATGAAAAAGTCACAGCTCAAAAAGTCTGGATAGGGACATGTTTATTGCGTTTAAGAAACAAAGGAGAAATACTAAGTGGGTGTAAGTGACACGAAACAATAAAATAGTCATTCTGTTCAGTAAAACTTTATTGTAGAACAGAGAAATCTTTCGGCCTAAGAATTTTTGAATCAATGCTATAGATAAATACAAATGTAAATGTAGGGAAATTATTTATGCCGCTGCAGCTTTACAAAACTGTGTACCACCATGTCTCCTAAAAAATTACCTTACTTTCTTTTGTTCTGTTGCCTTACTTCTAAAGTAAATATAAGTCAATATTTTATTCGACAACCTTTATAATGATACATTTATTGTCCTCTTCTGATTCAGGATAAAAAGTAGTTCGATAGGTTGATTTAAAAACTTACAACATGAATGCGAAATATTCCAAAATCTGTTAGAAATGAGCAAATAGTTTTGACGCGATTAGTAGATTCTGGAATTGTTGAAAACTTTGCTGGAGGTTAAAAAAGTTTTGAGTCCATCAATATGTGACATGTCGATCTGGAGAGGACAAATAATGTTTTTAAAAAGATTGTTTTATAATTTCTTTGATTTTCATATTTACTTACCCGTAATGATTTTCATCTTCAGTGTACCATGATAGCCAATGAGGTTCTTGATGTAATATGAAGCTCGACGAGTCATAGAATAAGTAGAATATACTAGAAGATACTTGCAAATGTACACTACTTTGCCTATATAATCATACTGATGACGAAAAATTAAAACGTCCATCCTATGAGAAAAAATGGAATTCGAATTGGCAAATTTTGAAGAAAATGATAATCTAAATTGCAACAGCGACATGAAAAGGAAAGAAGAGCAAATGCAGACCTCAAAACAACAGATTAAAAACTCCAACATAGAGACGTTGGCTAAACGGTTAAAGAGAATAAAAAATAAAAATTCAACATATGCTCGGTTTGACGATTTAAAAGAATTCAAACTGGAAGAAAATGATATCGTCGAACAGGAAAATGTACAAGAGATGAAAAATATCTTACATGCACCCTTTTACTGCCGATTTATTGCAAACTTCCCAATATTAGCATTTTTGTTGTCATCGACAATTCACGTTTTTGCCATAGTTACGACAGTGTCTCTCGTTGTGGCAGAGAAAAATGTTTTCCCTGTGGATTTTGAGACGGTCCCCCTTGTCCTGTATGACGACAGCACTAGAAAGCAGGATCTGGCATGGAGGAGCCGTGACGACTACCCCAGGAAAATATACAGGCCTTTGTTCGACCCACAATTTCCGTTATGGCTTGAAGGGCAGGTCAGGGATACGGTAGAAGTCATCTTACAAGTCGACAATGGAGAAATATTCAGTAAAAACAATCTCATTTTAATCCAATATACTGAAAATTTAATGTACAATATCACTTACTCAACCTATTGTCAGAAAGATGAGGATTTTCAGTGTGTAAAACCGAAGTCAATAATTCGGCTTTTTGATGGTACATATTTAAACTTAAATTCTAGTTTTACTGATTTGGAATTTAACAATCCAAAACATGTATTATGTTGTGCTATGAAATTTAATGAAACCAAAGAGTATATTGAATATTTCCTTCCGAAAGATTACGACCCTTGTCAGCCAGGAAGTGTCGCTTCTATTACTAGATTATTAATTACAATCTGTGATCTGTTTAATTTAGAGAGTGAAGACCAAATTCGTGATTTCTTAATTCATGAAGTGAAACCTAATCTAATAGACATTCGTAATAATGTTATCGGGGACAAAATGTATATGTACTTCACAAGCAAAATGATATATCAAAGTGAAGCCCTACAGCAAACATATGATGACGTGATATTTGCAATTGGGAGTTTTTTGTTCATTTTTCTTGTTATGTGGATTCAAACTAAATCGTTCTTTATAACGTCGTTTGGAATATATAGTATTTTAACAAGCTTTTTACTTGCAAATTTGATATATCGATTTATACTTAGTTATGAATATTTTGGTTTTTTACACATAGTTTCCATATTTATAATTCTTGGTATCGGTGCAGATGACGTGTTCGTGTTCTACGATTCTTGGCGCCTCACTGGCAAAGATACTAACCTTTTGACAGCTCATCGCCTGGCTGAATTTTACAACAGAGCTGCTAAAACTACTTTTGTGACGTCACTGACAACAATGGCGGCTTTTCTGGTCAGTGGAACTTCCCCGCTTCTACCCATAAGATCTTTTGGCCTCTTCACAGGTATCTTAGTTGGTGTCAACTATGTATGCGATTTAGTGTTTTTTCCAACCGCCATTGTTCTATATTCCGAAAAAATTAGACCCAAAACTATCAAAGTCAAAGGGTGGTTTTTTGAAAGATTTGGTTGTTGTGTGAGACGCATGAGACGTGTTTTGTGTGAAAAATGTACACAACTCCCTCAAGAAAAGGCATCTGGATTATCCGTCATCTTGATTCCGTTCTCCTTGAATACGAAGACAGAAGAAGATGCAATTCCAGATATGTTACCAGAGTTTGATAACTTGGAGGATTCGAAAGAAGGACTACACCAACTTTTTGAACAAAAACAGTTAACTAACTGCATACACACTAGCAAAGAATGTGACGACTGGGGGATAATAATTCAGTTTCTGCGACTCAGATTCTTTACCTTTATGAACCTAAGACCTCTCCGTATAATCATACCCGTGTTGTTTTTTGGAATTTCGTCGTTTTTCATTTATAACGCAACCAAACTGGAGCTTGACAGTAACCGAGTAAAAATATTCCGACCCTCGCACAATCAAGGAAAGGCAACACTACATCATTACTACACATTCCAAAGAAATTTTAGGGAGGAGCATACAAGCGTATATTTAGTATGGGGACTGTTGGCGAGAGACATGAGTGAATGTAGCCGCAAAAAATCCGGTTTTTGTCGAGGAAAAATGGTTTGGGATGATAAATTTGACCCTTCGTCAGCAGAAGCTCAGGTGGCTATCTATGATTTGTGCCAACGTTTGGAAAATGGCGCCGAACCAAAAATGACTCATCTGAGAATAAAAACAAATATCATCACTGGAAAACCAGAAGTCAGTTGCTATCTGACAACCATGGAACTCTTTCTTCAAAAAGATCTATTAGAAGCTAGGGAAAGGTATCCATCGGATCTAAATGTCAGTATCCCACTAGATAAGGCCAAAATGACAAAGTTTATGAATTCCAACAGTCAAATATACAATACCTCACACTTTTTTCCAGAGGACTTTGATAGATGGTTGGAGATAGGGTTGGAATACTGGATAACTAATAAGTATACAGGAGAGACCATTCAAAACTTTATTATGTTCGACCACCTGATTGGCGATGAATACATAATTGGAGAAACAGATATTGTTCGCGACACACAAGAAGAACCATTTATGTTCATGTTTTATGGCACAAAACTTCGATATTTTGGAATTCAAGTTAATCTATCCGTTAATGTTAACAACCTGGGATACAGTGAAGGAAGCTCGATTTATCAAGCATGGGAACAGCTAATTACCGATGAAAAAGATAAAATGCCAGCATCCTTGAAAAATGGTTTTCAATGCACAAGAAATACATGGCACTGGATACGAGTCCAAGAGATGCTGTCAGATTCGGCAATACAAGGGATAATCATTGGTTTGTCCTTGGCCCTTCTTGTTCTTATTCTGACTACGATGAACTTCATCATCGGGTTTCTAGCGTGGATCGTTATACTGCTTGTAACAGTATGTGTTGTGGGATCGATACCCCTGCAAAGTTTAAAATTAGGGATGGTCGAGTCTATTAATTTGTGCATGGTGGTAGGACTTGCTGTAGATTATGTCGTTCATTTGGCTGAAGCCTACAACATGTCGCCATTCGAAAAGCGACAGGACAAAACACGTGACATGCTAGGAAAGATGGGATTTTCTGTCATTTCCGGTGCATTAACCACATTTGGAGCATTTGTTTTTATGATAGGAGCTCAAATTCAGTTTATCTATGAATTTGGAAAATTTGTTATGATAACTGCAAGCATGTCTCTGCTTTTCTCACTGTTTGTCTTTACTTCTCTTATGTTGAATTTTGGACCTGAAGGCGATACTGGTTCTATTAAGGCATTGTGTCGGAATTTCTATCAAAGTAAGCCAAGTGCTCCTGTATAGTAAAAAGAAGACAGGTAAAGTGAGGGAGACTTTCCGCTGAATTTACGATGCTGAAGGGGACGTATGGTTCAAGTAGATCTAGACGTATTCGAACACGTTATTAATAAACATAGATGTTTTAATATTGATATGTTAAAAAAGAAAAGAGAAACATCTTCTTTCCTTTTCACAGTTGCACAATATGACATAGACGTATTTATTAAGCAGGGATCCTATTTTTTAACGGAACAACTGAAAAAAAATTAACGCATGTTATACTATTTAGATTTTCCACATTGTAATGAATTTTGTTTACAATTTTAAGAGATGCGTAAAGGAATTTCGATATGCAAAAACATTCTCTATGTATGAACATTTCAAACAAATCGATCCATTGAAAATAAGTTGATGACACAACGATGTTTTGTGTTAAGACAGCATTTCGGAAAAAAAACGGTCGATAAAATAACGTTGTCAGCTGATACAATTTATCATTGAGTCAAATGCTGACTGACGTTTGTCATACTAATTGTTAGCCCATTATTTATATACTGAATTGACGACGGATTTTTCTCATTATTTCCCGATCATGACAAGGAGCACAGGGTGGGTGTGACCGGTCTTTAGGAGATGCTCACTCCTCCATGTCACCTGATCCCACCTCCGATGTTTTGGAGGTCCGTGTTTGCTCTGCTCCTATTTTGCATTGTTTTATAGAATTTGATCTTGAATACTGTTCATTGTCTCCATATGTTTCATGGTGTGGTCGTTACTCTTCTTTGGTGTTGTAGTAGTGATTTAAATATTAATGTAGGAAGACCTTTTTTTAAAATTAAAGGTAATCAAATTCACTTTATTTAACTGATTGCTTCCCCGTTTGCAGTTTCAAGCAGATTTAATTTATCAGTCATGATGGATTCCTTTTAGTTAGATAATTCACACCACTATTGTTCTTGGTTAGTAATGAGTATTTCATAGCAATATTAGACGATTTCGTATAAAGACTATTTTGTTAAAGGGGCTTGGACACATATTTGATGTTTATACTTTTAAAAAATTTCCATATACTTTAGTGACTCATATCTTGCTACAGCATTACACACGAAAAAAATCTTTTATCTAAAACCCCAAAGTTTATACCGCGTTTGATTTACATATATCATTGGTCTACATGAAGTACACTTTATCCTTAATGTAGCCAGGTGTTAGATCTTGGATCCACCTATTTGTGGTTTGTTTCTTCATTGTTTGTCAGTCTTCATTGTCATTCGTTGTCAGTGATTTAAGTATGATAGAGAGAAAGGGGTGTATGAGAGAGAGAGAGAGTGAGTTGTATTCATTACTAACAAAAGTATTCTGCTGTGTGTTAATAAATAAGGATTAAAACTATAATCCAGAAAAAATCAGAGAATAAAAAAAGAGAAAACACAACCAGCTCACCAGTATTGTCATTCCGTGCTTAGTGATGTGCGCAGAGTTCAAGAAATTAAGTACACCTGGTAAAACGTAAACATTTCCAATTACAGGTATCTGCAGGATGTTATGTATAGAAGAATATCATTATCACTGAATTCTTAGAATATTCTTGTAAGTTGAATTCTTTCCACTAGTTTTAATTTTTAAATTAACAAAGAAATGTGAAATATGAAGAATAAAACTGTCTAAACCTCGTAAAAGTTAAGGTAAGCTTTACAAAAAAAAAATCATACAAAAGGCAAAGGGTCAGACAATATTTGTTAAAAAGTTAGTTTGCCTTCTCCCGACCCACTGAATTGCCAGATTCCAACTTTTTTTCCCTTGAAACATTTTTTAATTTAATTTCCTTTATTCCTGAATTTTCTCACCCTGTCTATATGTATGATGAAATTTTCTGTGGGAGAAATTTCCAAGTGCTCATTATTTTGAAGATAGCCTTAGAAATTTTTGAATGGATTTATTCATATGTTAACGTTGATTATAAAGTTCAAAGCTTTTTGCACAAATATTTCATATTGAAATAGTATGAACTTATTGGCTTAATGTATTGATAACAAAACTGTTATCCTTTAAAGAAATAAAACAATCTAAATACCTTTAAGTACTATATATGTAGTTTATTGCCAAGAAACTTTATGAATGCAAAATGCAGGCATCATCAGACTTATTTACATGTATCATTCTTGAAATATATAAGTATATATAAGTATTATTCTTGAAATATATTCCTATACATGTTTGACAGCAGAAGATATATAGCAAATCCAGAGTCAAAAGTGCAGACCATAGTTTTTTAGTTAAGCTATAATTGCACAATTCCTTTGTTTACACATAATTGATTTTCATGATATTAATGTACAGACTTGAAAATCAAAGCATGAATAATAAAGGAACAATAGCAAATATTATTTTTACATATTAAACAAACACTAAACATCACTGTTTTTAAAGCAGATCTGTTTCCCCTTGGATTCTAAATATCCAACAATGGTTTTGCTTTGTCCATCTTTTCCATTGACACTTCTGTCTTTTCTAAGATTTGAAACAAATTTAAAGTTATTAACTTCATGCACATACCGGTAAAAATGTGATTAGTGGACCAACTTTATAGTTAGAAATTGTGTTTGTAATGTACATTTTATGCAGATATCAAGCTGCAAACAATATTTATAAAATGTAAAGGTAACATACCAGTGTGTAAAGAAAATGGCGTTGGGTCACCCATTTTAGGTCTCGTCAGACCTCCTTTTGTGGTCTCATCAATAAATAATGCTTTTCTAAATCTTGTCGGGCTGGGTGTGTTGACAGGAGTCAAGTCTTCCCCATTATTGGAATGAGCATACGACATTCGCGTGTGGTAAGACGGAGGGCGCATGTCACTCAACGGTCTGTCGCTTCCGTAAAATACGTCATCATTGGTAGCAAGTACCATTGGCACTGGGCGCGGTTCAACATCAGGCAATGCAACATCACTTAAGATGCTGGTTCTGCGGGCTTCTGATTTGGACTCGCAAAAATCAGAAATGCTGCTTAGTCGCCGGAAAACCTTCAGTCGCACAGCATCGTTTACTTCTTGGTAATCATGTGGGGGAACGCCGATCTCGAGGTCGTCTGCTTCGTACAAATCATTTAAAATGACGTCATCTTGAAGATCATCTAATAGGTCTCTCTGAGAGCTATAATCTGTTCTACAATGTTGATCGAATGACAAGCCTGTCTTCATAATTCTTTTAACAGCTAATTTTATTTTGGTATTTCAACTTATTTAAAAAAAAAAACATTTTTGTAAAAAAAGGTTTTCTGTTGAATTGAAACTTTATGAATAGATTAGCTTACTTGTTTTTGTGTTTCCTCCAAATGAATATTCCAACACCGATTCCAACAAGTGCCTCTGCACCAAATAAGATAAGAACAAATTCCCAAATCTCAATCATATCGCTATACATCTCAAAAAGTGAAAGTCCCCATCTGTATATACAAATTGTAAATAATTCTAAAAATGCTATATATATATTCTATAAACTGAACATGACACTAAAATGTGTAAGGGAAATTTGTGAATGAAGCACACTTTTGTCGCAGATTTAAAAAAGACATTAAAATGAAGCACTAATAGAATATATTTAACATTTAAATTTGTAGGGGAAAAAGTGTATGAAAACATTAAAAAAGAAGATGATAAAATTAAGAAGAAAAATAAAATTAAACAAAAAAGTACTGCGAATTTTACACAAGATTTCATTCATACATGTTCAGTCTTAGAATTAAGGAGATTTTTCATCAACCTTTTTTTCAGTTTATCAAAAACTTACTTCGAAAAATAAAATTTTGAGTTTTCTCATGATGCGTCTGACAAAAAAGACAATACCTTGTGTGAGAAAATAGCTACGTAAGAATGCCGAGGGTTGTTCCTGTCACTCGAATCCACGGGCTTTGGCCAAGTTCTTCTTCGTATTGATATTTCTTATCGATGCTAAGTGCTTGTTTATATCGAAAGGTACGACAATTTATTTAACTTTTAAATTTACACAGCCATTAAAGTCTTCTAATAAAGCGATTTAAAAGGTATAGATAAAGATTTTTCAACCGATCAAATTTATTTTTTTCAATTTATTAAGTTGAGATGCTTGGACAATCCAGGAGATCCATTTTTTAAAAGTACAATGATTAAACACGTATCTTTACCCAGGAGAGCAATAATTGAATTTCAAATTGACTTATTTAAAATATCATTGCTGTAAATTGTTTATGTGAATTTTTAAATTAACTGACTACATAAAAATAAATTCGAGAAGAAATTGATAAAACTCTTTTTCAAGAGAGAGAGAGAGAGAGAGAGAGAGAGAGAGAGAGAGAGAGAGAGAGAGAGAGAGAGAGACCATGTATCTGAAGTTGATAAACCGATGATTTTTGTTATTATGTAATAAAACAAAATAAAATTATGTGCTTCCAACAATTTGAAAAAAAAATACGTCCTTATTAACTTTTTCTTATCCTATCTACATTCTAAACTACAAAGCAGGAAACTACTGGAATGATAAAACTAAGGAATGGCGTTAAGCGATTAAACTTGGGATTTGTTTATTTAACAGTCAGGGGGTTGTGTCAATCTAGACCATAATGCACACGAACCCAGTGCAGTATGACAAGAGTTCTCTCTGTCTCTTAGTTCCATATTCAACACTGTTGTTGCAATGATCCTTTTGTCGTTCTATTCTTTGTACATCGTTGGCGTTAACGCATTTATTCCTAACGCCTTTACACCATATATCACTCCTAGTGATTACACTCATCAGGATCTTACGGAGCAGGGTATTTTGTTGGCGGTTGCAGAGTACTTTGAGAGTAAAGCCGCCCCTGGACAATCCGCACCACCACAACCTGGATCTCTGACGGGAATAGCAAATATAACAGCTCGGAAATTGTTTGACGCTTACTATGGGTGTAAGTATAGAATTTGGGAACTGCATGATAATTATGAAAGGTCTAGCTTTATACCTGAAGAACAATTCTTTTTCATTTCACTATGCAGTGTTTTAAGTAGTTAGTACTTCATAGTTCTACAATGATAACAAGTAATAAACTTATTTGTACATTTCAAAGTCGAGTTTTCCTGTCTGATTTCAATTTTTATTCAAGCTTATGTGCCAGAGAAGAAGTTTCAGTCCGCCATTGATGATATCGTCGATCACAACTCTCGCGTGGACCACGATCACTCACGAGAGGCTGCCTGGCATTTTAATGGCGAACAAATCAACCAAGGTGTTGTACTGTTTTCAGTTGTAGATGATTAATATGATTGCTTTTAATTGAAATTTCACGGATAGTTCAAATAAACAACAAAATATACAAACAAAATTTGGCGTTTGAATTTTATATCTTCTTGATGCAATTACCATAGCTATTCTTCATTATAAATGTTCAGTTGATAACATTTGAGCAAAATAAACAGTCAACTTATCTATAATAAATTTTCTTGTTTTATAAGGGAATAATATTTTATTAAACCTACGATCGTCAGCATTTGACGCCTTGAATGTCTCGCAACCAAATTATGCCACGGCCCGTAACATGATTGGACAGTACTTACATGTTCTTCAAGATTTTTATAGTAATACCAACTGGAAAAAAATCAACTCGTCGACTTACTACAGTGATTTAGGTATAGATAATCATAAAACTGTTTAACTTTATTCTGATTTAGCAATTAGAAGTTTGTGTATTAATATTCTGTGTTTGATTGGGTAACAACGCGTATTTCCCAACATCAGGCGTTCCTGGCAAATCACTGCTTCCTGTAGCAGCAGCATCTGAGGACACCTGTAAAAACTGTGGGTTTGTACACAATCAACCTCCTTTACTATACATAAACATGTAAAACAAGATAGCTGTGTTTCAAAGTGCTATGCTTAACCCAATGCTTTTTCTTTTATTGGAATATGTAATTCTTAGCATATGGCTGGTAATCAATTTAATTTTAAAACGCTATACCTTTTTAAAAAAACTGTCAATATTTTTTTTTCAAACATCTACAATAATATGTTGCTGAAGAGAGATTAAATGTAACAAAATTTATGTGAAGTAATATTAATATAAATCATAACTATTGCCGTCGTATCGCGCCTTTATCTTTACAGTGATGTACTTCCTTGTTTGTTTGATCCGCCCCTGTTGACCAATAACAACAAACTGACAAGCGGATACAGGAGTGGACAAGATATCGTTAAACCTTCAAGTATGTCATTGTCCACTTATAGTCTTGATTCATCCTTAATTGACATGTGCGGTCCATGTAGGTTGACATTTTATAATGTTAAGACGATATCAGCTAGTTTATATATGCACTCGATTAATATTTAAAATAAATTTCAAAATATTTTTAGAACCAACCACAAACACAACAGGAAAATGCAGTCATGGCGGGAAATTTGACACTAGTGCCACTATTGTTGCTGCTCTTGGCGGAATAAATAAAGAAACAAACACAGCGGCCTACTCACCTCTATCTGTAAATCACACAGCAGTTTCAAAACTTGCCATTCAACATACAAAATATTTCTTCACTGGCAAAAGTAAAATTAAACTTGGTTTGATATTTCCACTCCATAATTCTGATAAATTAAATTTAAAAAAAAGCATTATTATAATCACATATTGATTTTTTGTCTTTAATTCTTTCAATATAGAAGAAAATTTTGCTGTTAAATATTAAAACCTAATACACTTTACGTATTTTTCTAATTTTCAAAAAAGCTTATGGACTGAGGGCAGTGTTTGGGGATAATAAATTTGAAAGTCTTCTGCAACTTCACGCCGGAATATCTCTGTGTTTTGTCATTGATACCAGTGTTTCTACAGAAAGAGACGCGATCAAACAGGAAATCCAGAAACTGGTGGCCTCCGGAAGTAATCCCTATAACTATATACTGGTCTACACAAATCAAGGTAAGGGTCACAGGTAATAATTGAATGTTTTAAGAGTAGAAACAAAAATCATATAATTATGTTAAAGGTCAGAACTGATCTCAACGATTATAGTGACTTTGACCTTAAAATTAGAATGACGCTGAGTTTAGTTCCAGAAGCACCATGAAGTCTAAGACAAAAACATACATTACACTACTATAAACTTAAATTTGATGAACCACAATGCAAGATAAAAATGAAATGACATGATGTTCATTTTTTTGTATCTCTTGTAATGAGAAAATGTACTTGAAGGACGTTCTTTTACTCTTCTGTGAACATTCGATATGAAATGTTAAAAATGTGTAAGATTAAGTACATGTGGAATATCATAAGATATATTAGAAAAATTTGTGTGCACCTATTCAGACTTTAAAGTTAATATGACTTTTTAAATGAATAATGTATGTTAACATTGAATACTAGTGTATTTTTCCATATATTCAGGCCAAACAACGCCGACAGTTATCACAAAAACCAGCGGTACTGATATCGTATCTGCCTTCAGTTCTATTAGCATAGCGACCAACCATTCCTGTACTTACTCCGTATCAGGAACAGAAGCAGGTAAAGTAATCCTACCAAAACGGCGTGACGTACAATGAAGCGCATTGAAATTCTGAGTCATGTTCTGAATGTCAATTATATTATTATGACACGCATTTCTTCAGATGTTCATTTTTTTTCGTCGTAATGTTTTAGGACACCCCACTATCAACATGAGTTTCACTGAAATGGAGATTTTTTAAAGTTATAAAAGTGAGTTAGACAGTCCCCGCTTCTGTAAAACACGTACAATGAAGCGCATTGAAGTGGTAAAATTTTCTGTTTGGATGGAACGTTTGGAACTATCTTTAGACACGACCATTTCTTTAGAAATGAAAATTCCAAATTTTGTACCTGTAAACATATTTCGATATGAAATTGTTACATAAATGTGTAATACATGTGTTATAGTAACTCCAGTCAACATAATAAAATCATAATTATGTACAAATCCGGAATGCGTGTTTTACATAAGATATATATACAATGAAAAATTTGTGTGCACCTATTTCTTTAGACTCAAATTAAAATACCTGTAAAACAGGTATTCCATAAATATAACAGCCAATCAAATTTTTAAGCACGTGTTCGAAATATACATGTCTTATGTTAATAAACATGATAAAATCATAATTTTTAAATATGAAAATTCGTTCCACATGTTTTACAGAAGCGGGACTGTATTTTTTTGAAAATCTTCATTTCAGTGAAACTCATGTTGCTTGTCGCGGAAAGTGGGATGTCCTAAAACATTACGACGGATGTTTCTTTCTCGTTTCTAAAGGGATGGGCGTGTCATTATATTATAATTGACGTTCAAAACATGACTCAGAACATTTCATTCAAATGGAAAATTTTACCACTTCAATGCGCTTCATTGTAGCTTTTTCTTACTTAAAAATCTTCATTTCAGTGTAACGCATGTTGCTTGTCGCGGAAAGTGTATAGTGTCCTAAAACATTACGGCGAATATTCCTTTCTCTATTCTAAAGAAATGGGCGTGTCGTTATGTTATAATTGACGTTCAAAACATGACTCAGAACGTTTCGTCCAAATGGAAAATTTTACCACTTCAATGCGCTTCATTGTAATTCCAACGAATTTGTGTATAATTATGAATTTATCATGTTTATTGGAGTCACCATAACACAAGTATTAGTCGAACACGTGCTTATTCGATGTTTAAGTAGACCGTCAATTTGATTGGCTGTTATATTCATGGAATACCTGTTCTACAGGTATTCGAATGAACCATTTGACCGATTTCTCCTTTCTGAAGAAATAGGCGTGTCATTGTATGACAATCGTCGTTCTAAAGATAGCTCAAAACGTTCCAGTCAAACGGAAAATTTTACCACTTCAATGCGCTTCATTGTATATAGTCATAGACGTGCATATAATAAATGATGGATTTTAAAAAAAATCCTTGACTTAAACAATACTTATGTTCATGTCTTAGTTTGTAAAATATATGTTTTCATTATATTAGAACTGAAATAATGATGTACATTTATAGAAGTGATTGATCTAATGATCCACTAACAATACAACTCTGTGGACAGGGTATAAAACACGAACCCTCAGGAAGTTCAGAGTAGGGATCAGGTGCCTATGAAGAGTAAGCACCCCCTATTGACCGATCAAACACGAAGAGAACCGTTAGTATTGCTCTGGAAGAATAAATGTTACATAATCAAAATTTTGAATGAAAACAAGACATAATATTAGCAAAATCCAAAGATCGGATATGTTTTCTAACAAGATCATTACAATAACCAAGGACTTTATTAAATTCTGATTTCAAACGAAGTTGTTGAAACACCTGTTAAATTAACTTTTCTATGATTAGCCTGTCTTTGCTTAAAACTTCTAATCAAGAGGATGTTCTTTAGAGTTGAATAAGATGGGAGACGTTAACCCCATATGCAAGTGTTAGCAGAACATAAATACGAATATCTGGCGATGGAAAAACGCTTTTTATTCAGTTTAGTTGTCAGTTTGCCATTATCGTCTTAATTCAATTTAACATCCCAATATACGGACTCAATGACATCTTTTTTTCTTTATCTTACTGGGATATATCTTGTCGTCGTAAATGAATTTTGTTCATTAATAAAACATGTCAATATATTTGGATATCGAGTTGACGGTCACAATAAGAATTTTCCTTTATTGGTTAAAGTTTCTGTAAAATAGGTCGTCTAATAATGAAAAAAAAATATAATGAAAAAAATATTTATATTTACGATATCGTATATTTATTATTATTTTACAGCGGTTACAGCGGCTGAATATGGGTCTAAAGTTTATGTATTCAGTGACGCTACACCAAAAAACGATATAACTATAAGATACATTCAGGCCATGGCTACAGAGAAAGATTTACGGATATCATTTCTTCTTACCGGACAATGTAAGCAGAAACGGTCCACAGGTAAGTCAAGAATTGTTACCTTTTATGATGTTAATCAAAATGTAACTACCCGTTGAAAAATTAAATAGGTAAAAAATTGAAAACAGGAAAATTGACATTTTTGTGTAAATCGTTCATTTACAGTTAAAAGTCTATAGTCACAAACATTAACTTTTCCTTTTAAAGTTTTGGTAGGATTTCATGTTTAGAGAGATATTCATTTATAATTTTTAAAGATATTTTTTATTAAACGAAAGCTACCAATTTTAGGTGCGTATACTGTCATAGCGGTGTATCCTTCGCCTCATCAAAACCATAATTGATAATTTAATATGAATTGAAAATATGTAGTGGAAAGTAAAAGGTATCAAAACTATACTAGGGTTTTGCCAGTGCTGTCTGTTGGTGTTAGTAAACATAAACAATAGAGTGTCTAATCCCTTATTTAAAAACGCATCCTTTGAAAACATCTGAGGTGAAGTGTAAAGTACATTGTCAATAAAAGTGCCCTTGTTATTTAATACTTAGACAAACTTTTTCTTACATTTTTTGATTGATTCACTACGAACTGAAGACATGACTCTAATTTCTTTACGCTACAATGTATTGTTATTGATGGTTTGACAAACCTTTCGTTCGGCTTTAACCATAACACTGTGAACATACGTCTTTTATGCAAATGTTTATTTCAGACAAATGGTCTTTTCTTTTTAATGCCAAGAGAGAACAACAAAAACCATTACACTTCACACATCAGTTTCTGGTTCCGAAAGGGAGAAACTGGTTAAGGTCAACAAGTCCTAGAATAGGTGTGTGTTTTATTTTCTGAAATTTTGGAAGACATTAATACATGTTTTTATAATGTAAACAGGAAATTTTATTGACCAATCATCATTATGAAAATACTTTTTGTTGATAGGAAGCAAGGTTTTATTATCAGTGAGAGTTAATGACCCTGACGCTGTATCATCAGTGGACTCCGTCAGAATCGGCAATCTCAAACAGGCACTACGTAAACTTAAAAGAAGTCGCATGCCTGGAATTTATTCTACATTTATATCAGATTTTCCAAAAGTAAGCATATTTCAATCCAATTTCTTCTTTTAAAAATTCTATCTTACAATATTAATGACAAGCTTACTTTCTGGTTTACAGATCCAGGACACCGATGTCTACGTTAAGGGGACGACCAAAGATGGACTAATTTTTCAAAAGAAGTCACAGGAAATATAATTTATTTTTGTAAATTGTTTTTGCTATTCTGGGCAATTTTCCGTCTATCTAGATAATTTTTTCCTTTAATCTAGAAAATGACTAATGAATTTTGCTTGTATTTTGTGTATGACCACTTCTTGTTGTATGAAATTTTTTTTATTGTTCATGATGGTCCCTATCTATGAAAAAATTGTATTTCCCATTTATTTAGAAGTCCTTTTGCAGAAGATGGTTCTTTTTCACCATACAAACATTACTATGATTCAGGTTTTTAAAAGCCCCTTTCTTCACTTCAGGCCAAAATGTTAACTGCAGTGAAAAAGAAACTGCAGGGTCATTGTACACATATTGATTCCAAAAGTAAAATTTTAAAATGTGAATACTTTAAAGGTCAATAAACATTTAGAAATTTTGAAGTCACAAAATTTTACGGAAATTAAAAACATCAAAATGTAAAACTTTTCAATGCTTTATACATGTATAACCATTGTACTCAACTTATTAAAATCCAACCTTTTTGACAGCACAACTGCTTTTTCAATAAAATTAAAACGCGTAATTGACCTACCTTGTCGTTGTTAATACAAAAAATCATTTTTGTAAAAACATTTTGAATTACAAATACGAAATTGAAAATTAAAAAAATGCAGGGTTTCTAATTGACAATTTGTAGTTAGTTTTAGAGGTTCAAAAATCTATCTCTTGGATTCCCCTTGGAAACTTATTACGTCCGTTTGTAAGCAGACCTATTTTTGTATTCAATTGACATAATTTATTCAATAACATATATATCAAATTCTCTGCGTACGAAAAATTTCTAAACCTCCAATTCACTGACAATACGTTGATGAAATATTTGAAGATAACGAACAGTATTCAAGCTCAAAAGTCCATTTAACAATACAAAATAGAAGCAGAGCAAACACGGACCTCCAAAACAGCAGAGATGGGATCATGTGCCATGGAAAAATGAGCATCCCCTACCAAAAGGTCACATCCGCCGTGTGCTGTTTGTCATAATTGGGAAATAACAGAAAAATCCGTCGTCAAGTCAATGTGTTAAAAATGACTCACAATTTGTATGAAAAAAGGTCAGTCAACATTTGACTTAATGATAAATTGTATTTGCTGAAAAGGTCATTGTATCGACCATAGAACTTTTGAAATGATGACTTCAAACGAGACTGCTGATGATGCAAGGATATTGAAATCTTTATTAAAAACAACATTTTGCTAATTTTATGGTCGATAAAATAAATTTATCATCAAATGCAATCTATCTTTTTGCAGTATGATGATCGACATGTAAGAACCATTTCTTTTGCAGTGAAATGTATACGATTTCCCAACGGCGGATTCGACAAGTCGACATTGGATGCTTACTAATCCACATTATGATTCTTCTTATATTCATGACTGATCCATTTTTTCAATGGCAGTGTCTCTTGCCTAAAATTTAATAGCTCTCGGACGTAACCAAGATGTTTAAATTTGCAAAATCATTTTCTTTTGCAATCTTATAAGCGATGTTTATTACATAAGAATTTATTTACATCTGATTATTTCAACAAAATTTCTGTTAAAATGAGACATGTTTCTTCAAGGACCATATAATCAGATGTAAATATTCTTACACTGATAATTACTGGCGAAAGTCATACAGCATAACTTGTCGACATTTATCAAGAAAACTAATTTACATCTTACAAACGATACATGCCTGCAGTCATTAACGATTACCGTGTCATTATTCGTAAGAGAACAGTCCTGTGATTTCGTGATTTTCATTTTTTTGAAAAGTAAAAAGTAAGGTATGTACACAATTTGTAAATAAACTTTTTTCAGCTTTATCTATATAGGTAAATATTCATTAGTAGATAGGTGTATGGTTATGCCAATATCGTCATCTTGACAGAAAATTTATTATGACTCCATTTTTCTATTAATACTATTATTAAAATAACAATTATTTAAACACGGTTTTTAATTTGCAGCTATTCGAGGTTTTCGTATTGTTGCTACACGACTTTTTCTTGTGAGATGTTCTGTTTATAATCATGATAATGGCATATATGGAGATAACGAATATATTCAGGCTCAGAAGTCCATTCAAACAATACAAATCGGACGCTAAGCAAACGCACCTCTGAAACATCAGATTAAATCAGTGTATTAACCCTACGTTGTTTAAGACTTTACATTTTATTTCATTGTTTTAACTGCATTTGTGTTTGGAGCAGAGCAAACACGGACCTCCAAAAGATCAATACATGCCATATATCAATCCATATATGTCACACCCGCCGTGTGCTCCTTGTTATGATCGGGTAATAATGATAGAATCCGTAGGCATTTAAGTGTATAAGTAATGGACTTAGATATATTGAGTATGTTTTGAAAACGTACAAATCAGCATTTGACCCAGTGATAAATTGTATATGCTGGCAAGGTCATTGTATCGACCATAGAACTTATGAAATGATGACTTTAAATGAGCCTGCTGAAATTCTTGTTTCATCAACTTGTTTGAGAATATTTTACCTCGTTGTAGAAATTGTTCATACGTAGAGCATGATCTTGCGTATCTAATCAGCTGAGATATGTAAACTCCGTATGCAGGTGATTAAGGTATATTGCTGCCTAAGTAAGGGATGTTGACGATAGAAAAGTTAGAGGCATCACGTTTATCATAGAGCTTGGTTGTTATATTACCATTAACATCTTTTTCAAGTCAAATATCTAAATATAAAAGAGATATCGTAGACTCTGTGGTATCTTTTATCTCAAGCTCACCAGGATAGATCGTATTGAAATAAGAATGAAAATTACCATTGTTAATTGACAGTACGTCGTTGCGATCGGTTATAATATTTAGATGTCGAGTTGAAGGTTACAGCAAGTATTTTCTTCATTTCACGCATAAGATTTTGCACAAATTCTACCTCATATGAATAAACAGTTTCTAATTACGAAATCAAATCTTCAAAAACCAATATAATCCCCTCAAACCTCGACAATTTGACACCACAATGATTTTACAGTAAGTTATAAAATTTCTAAATGATGAATTTGAACAACATTATTGATATCCTTGTGTTATCAATTTCTTTGTCAGAAGTCTGCTTCGGTTAGCTCCTGTGCCGTTGCAGAACAGATTATTGTGCATCGAATTTATCTAGAGATATAATATAAAATCCATATGCAGGAAATAATGTATGCTACATTAATTAGCTCAAGTGTAGAAAGGAGAGGTGTGGATGGAAGAATTAATTTCGAGAAATCTGTTTTACTGATTTAAAATTGAATTCGTTTTAGTAACTTGGTTTATTAAATATTTTTGCCGTTTTCATAGATACACTGAAATATACCCAGAAGATCATAATAATTTATTGAATTTGAGATTCTTTGTGTTTTTTATTTATAATGAAAATTGCATATTTATTTTTAAATATTGATATTAGGATGCTATTCACTTTACTTTTCTGTTAAAATATATCAAGAACTATTTGTATAAGGTTATAAACATGATTTTTATGTCTCTTGTATAGATATATTTTTAAATTAAAAAATGTCGATATAATATTCAGATTACAGAAACAACAAAGAGATGATAAATCATGAAGATTTATTTGTTAATGTTTCATCGTAAAATGTGTATATATATGATATGAAAACTAAAATACTAATATGGAGCGGCCATCTTGAACTTTTCGAAGTAGACAACGCTTAATGGAAATTAGCCAGCCTAATAATCATTATATCCCTATTGTACACTTTCAGCAAATGCTCAAAAACGACTCATAAATTACAAGTTTTCAAGGCGTGACAGAAAAAATGCATTTTTTGTGTGCATATTTTATTTCAACTCATTAAGGAGCTAGAAAACTGGTTAAAGTGCAGAGAATGAATTCAAGAGAAAAAAAGTGTTCATAGAAAAGGTCTTCCAGAACAATCGCTTCGAAAAAGAAGTTAGTCAATATCATCACTTACACCTACATGTATAAGCTTCAAAAGAAACAGATTGCATATAATTGAACGTTGGGTGTATTATTAAATGATATCAAGAGATCGAGTTATGATAAAAAGGAAAATGTATCTGCTTATCAACAAACCGAATTCTTGCGTGGTGAATGGATGGTAAATTGATGACAGTCTTCATAAAATCAATATATAAACTGAATAGCAGTCTAATTGTTCATCTAAAATATCAATATCAGTGGGGTATGAGAATCTTTATTAAAAAGGTTCGACTGCTTCAACCCAAATCCTAACTCTATAATCATTTTATACATTATAATTTAATGACAACGATAGTTTTTCTTTTCAGATAAGAGAAGAAAGATGCTTTATTCAACATACCTGCCTATATTTGCTGTATATATTCTTTGCAATCTCGTTATGAATGTGAGCTCAGTCACAGAGGAGACAAGGGGTTCTATTGTACCTATTCGGTTGGAGGAGAAGAATGGCAAATTGGATCTTACACTGGATGTACGGCTAAATATAAAGGAAGAGAAGACTACCCCTTCTCCCGGACCAAACCTAGAGGGCATCAATCTTAAACTTCTCTGTACCTTTGTCAAACATTTGTAAGTAGCAGAAAACGATTTTGTTTGTAGCTCTATCTGATATAGAAACACACAGACACAATTTCACTCATAAAGCCTCATAAGTCTAAGGCGGTTGTAAAATTCTTTTGATATTTTTGAATAGATATATTTCTAAATTGTTGTTATTTGGTAAACGCAGATATATTCATGTTAAAGAATTATATACTTGTATTAAAATTCATTAGAAAATTAATTCTATTGCAGATGTCAAAACCAGTATGACAGCTGGGGAAAGAAAAGATAGGAAACCGTTTTTGTTGCCTTGAATGTTACTGTTGTTATTATGCAATCGTCTATATGCACCATTAAATATTAAGATTATGACTTTCGCATTAATAATACCTCACCAATGGGATGGATATTGACAGACTTTACCGCAACATACCATTCTAGAAACTCTGCCATAAGCTAAAATACTGCCCAGAGAAACAGATGTTTTTCTACATGTGTGTTTTTTAACACAAAACCTTCTCACAACATTTAAAAGAGTTTTAAGTGTCACTTCAGCATTTTTTCTATATTTTTCATTTTGGTTAATATCCAACGAAAGGTCTAAAAGGATTACATATGTAAAGTATGGAAGCCATAGTCCTTACTGTTCAAAAATAATTGCCGAGGTTAAAGTTATTTTAAAGCATGTAAATCTCTAAGGTCAAGGTCAAAAGGTCAAAGTTGTTGGTGTTCATTGGAAGGTCTTGTCACAAATAATACATATGTGAAGTATGAAAGTCCTAGTATTTACCCTTCAAAACTTAAGGCCGAAGTAAAAGTTTGGATTTTTTGTATGGTTGTGTGTCAAACTCCAAGGTCAGGTCAAAAGGTCAAATGTTTTTGTACCCAAAGAAAGGTCTTGTCACAACAAATATACATGTGAAAAATGAGAGTCATAGTTCCACTAAATGAAAGATTATGGACAAGATTAATGTTTTTTTTTCGGACAATCAGACAGAAGAGACAAGGAAAGACAAACAGATGGACGGACGGACACGACAAAAACTATTAAACCCCAAATCATCGATTACGGGGGCATAAGAAATCTAGATACGACAAAAATATAGATACGACATTTCTGTATGCTTGAGATGACCAGTTGCAAATTAAATAATAAAGGGTGTCTTTCAAGTTCAATATCGTAGTAATATGATAGGGCTTTTAAACATAAAAGCAGAAAAAGGAAGTAGTTTACACAATAAATATACATGTTGTTTCTTCTGATTCACTTTAACAGTGTATCAAACGTCAAAACCAATTCAACACATTTGCACTTAATTGTATTCAAATCCCTCAAACTTTATAAAAATTATAACCATCTGATGAGTCTAAATCAAGTTCAAAATTGGATTCTTCACTTGCAGAATACTAGACAGTGTTTGTTGCCTATCACAGGTTCTTTATGCTACCACTTGTGACGAAAAGAAAACCTAATTGTCCCAAAAGAATATCACTACTGGTCGATAAATGACTATTTCAGCAAGTATATTTCTTTCATTAAATCGAAAGCTGATTAAAGTTTTACATACTACTTGTAAACCGTAAATAATATAAGTATCTTAATTTATTAATCAAATACAAGTAAGATAAAAAGATAAGGTTTCAGTATTTGCACAGGTTATGACCTAAAACATTTTTCTCATTGATTTTGACCTGGGTTGAAAGTCATTTAATGACACCACCGCACATCAGTCTTCTATTGTCAGTCCCGCATCTGTTACAGAAAGATAGAAAGAAGCAAAAACATGACAATAAAGATGTTAGATGAAAATATTTCCTAAAACTTTTATCACATGATCTCGATTTAAAGATATTCATCGGTCATTATTTAAAAAAATGTTGTTTTTTTTCTGTTAGAGGCTACCGCCCTGAAAAAATCATCAATTATCATTGATAAAAATCTTTATAAAATCTTCATGAACCCTCGGGTTTGTCAATATATTCTTCATTTTGCTTTATGTCCAAAAATAATCATTGGGATACACTGCTTGAATAAAGTCTTTTCGAAATCTTTTTTTTCGTTTTTTGAGTTTATTGTTAGTTTTCGTTTGTGAATTAGAGAAAATAAGCTACAAAGGATAGTTCTTAATTTTTTTCTATTCCAATTCTAAATCGACAAAGAGAAACAATTCCAATTTAGAATTGAACGATCTTTGCCATTTATTCAAATGTCCTTACTTAAAACTCGACGTTTAGATATATCGACGACGTGTCAATTTACAGTGGTTATTTCCATTCATATGTCGATACGATATATCCTCGTGAGCAAGATATATAAGATATTACAGAGTCTGACAAATCTCTTTCATATTTAGATATTTTACTTGAAAAAGACGTTAATATTAATCTAACAACCAAGCTCTATGATAAACGTGATGATCTTAGCTTTTCTATCGTCAGCTTCCCTTAGAGTGAATGATCGACAATAGTACTAATGTTTGGTCTTAAGTTTCCCTTTGTGTCTTCAGGTAGATCATACTGATCTTGTATCTTGCTTACCAAGTCCATTACACCAGAGTAAGAATTTTGAAAACAAAAAAAGAAATCAAGTTTGTATCTTAATTGATAGTCACAGTATACAAACATATTAGTGTCTCTTGTTTGTGGCTATCTTTGAAACATAATGATTCCTATTAATTAAAGTTTCTCTCTCTTCTCTTTATTTTAAATTAGAAAAATAAAACAATAACTATTAATTATGTCTATAATAAGCATTGAATAAACATAAAAAAAAACATTATTTAAGATTTTAATTTAAAAACTGTAAAAATAATCTTAGTAACCTTGAATTAATTGTTCCAGATATAAAAATAAAAAAAAGAGATTTACATACAAATTGTAATTGAAGTGTAATTGAAAAGTAATGATAAGTGAAATTTCGGGTATATTGTTGTTATCTTTGTTCGTCCAAGGGCCACGGAACCCAATAAGTATATTATATTACAATTACCTGTAATTGAAAGATGGATCCATTACACAATACATCCAATTACTTTAAAAAAATGTAATGATTACAATGCATTACCATTACCCCTGGTCTGGATAATGACCATACTCAAATAAAAACCAAAATGTGTCTCAAAATAGCACAGTTCGACTAAAATCACATAACATTCATTCTATTCATTGTCAATAAAGAGTGTTTACTCCTTTGTGGCACCTGATCCCATCTCCAATGTTTCAGGGGCCCGTGTTTGCTCTGATTCTCATTTGTATTGTTTATTGGACTTTTGAGATTGAATATTGTTAGTTTTCTTCATATATTTCATGCTCCAAAAGCGGTCTACTGTTGTAAATTTAAGAAAGAAAGGCATGAAGTTAATGACATCATTCTAATTTAAATGCTCTTTAGTTAAATTTGTCTGGTCAAAGAAATATGATGTTTTGTGAGTGTAAGGGTGTGTGTGTGTGTGAGTGAGGGTATGTGTGTGTGTGTGTGTGTGTGAGAGAGAGAGAGAGAGAGAGAGAGAGAGAGAGAGAGAGAGAGAGAGAGAGAGAGAGAGAGAGAGAGAGAAAATCAACGATCTATGTTACATTTACATGAACGATTATTTTGACGTCACCCGTGTTTACATATGTAGTATAAATTACTTATGCACGTTTCCTATTAAATTTGCATGTAAAGTATGTTTTAATAGTATACATAAATTGTTTGTCAACAATCATTTTTTTCATTTATGTATGAAACTCCCACGATGTATTTGTACTATTAGAATGGTTAAAAGTGACTTTTTCTTGATTTTATAAAACATGGAGGGAATTGTTGAAACACATCATAACTAATTTGCATAACCACAACCTTTCTGCCTGGAGTCACTAACGATTATTATATGGCAGTTATAAAAAGATTCATGTCGATGCAGTTTTAATGTAAAAAATCAACAACTGTCCCGAAAGAAGGTATGTTTGACTATTATCTATGTATTCTATGAACTCATCATCTGTAAAGTAGAAAAAAAAATTTCATTATTTACTACGCAGTTAAACGTTTCTTTATCACTTCTACATATTAAAACCATATAAAGTTGTAGCGGCATGTTTAAGAAATTCAGAAAAATCATTTTTCAACTTGAAATTATCTTTTATAATGACTATACTGAAGATATATCATTTCAAAATCCTTATATCAATTACGAAAAATGATATAAAATAAAGAACAATCTTATTTAGATGTGCAAGATCAAAATTCCATCCAAAAGGTAATTTATTCAGAAAGGGTCACTAGTTCGCAGATTGTTTATGAAATATCGTTTAAAGTGTAATTAATTCAACTGCACGGAGTTCTATAAATAGTTTCACTATGGCATTTTTAACTCCTTTAAGTAAAGATGAAGGAATATTTATATCCCCGCTTGAAAAGTTGGAGGGTATATAGTGACCGGAATGTCCGTCCGTCTGTATGTTCGTCCGTCTGTTAAGCTTTAGGGCACCCATCTCTTATCCGCAAGTCCTCTTTTACCACTGATGAAATTTAATGAAATTTTAATTCACTGAATCTTTGTAACATAGTGCCATTGTGCACCTCCTATTTTACTTTTTGATCGGACACTTATCTGTGGTTTCCCAAAGCAAATCATGGAGACTGCATTCCTTTCTATAATATTGAAGGATATACATTTCTTTTCTGCGGTTCCTCCTTTACCATTGAATGAAAAATGATACTTTCAAAGATTATTGTTTACATTATACTTTTTAGCACCTCTTATTTTACTTTTTAATCTGTCACTTATTTCGGGTCTCCGAGAGAAAAACTTGGGCTTAATCATTATAACCATATGGGAGGCGGGGTTATGATATATTGAGATATATTTTATGATATATATTTTTTTAAAGTGCACTGATCTAATTTCGTCGGATTTCTTTTTTGCTATTCCATGCGGAGGATGGATTGTTTAATTTTTTTTAAACATCTTTTCCCTTTAACTGTTTTTTATTAACAAAAAGCTTATTTGTTTAACATAAATAATCATATTTGTAGACTAATACATCTATATCTAATTCATGTAAATTAATATTATATATTTCAGTTCTATCCAGATCAGAAACACGATGATGCTGAATTCCAAATACATTGCTATATTTGCAATAATCATTATAATAAATGAAAATATAGTCTTATCTGTTGGAACCGAGTCAATAACGAACTCAACAAATACGTCACAATCTCTCTTGGGAGACAGTATCTTGGGTCAAGCTCTGGACATCAATATAAATATTGAGACAAAGGTTAAAGAGCCTACAAACGCTCCTCTGGATTTAAGTAAAGTCAATCTTAAACTGCTTTGTACGATGATTAAAGATTTGTAAGTACATTTCTCTTTTTACATGTATATGTTCCACTTTCATTAAATATCTTTGATTTCTTGTACATGTATCTAGACTTTTTTTGGTTATCTTTGAATTGATTTTTTTTTCAGATGCCGAAACCAGTATGACAGTTGGGGTGGATGAACAAAACAATTTGGAATTATGTTACGTATTAAAAAAAAACAAACGAAAAAATAAATCAACTATCTCATTTAAAATGATAGACATGAGTTTCATATTGATAACTCGCCAAAAGGAGGCACATTGACATTCGAATTTGTAATACTGAAGAGCTTTAGCCAGAGGCTCAAATTAAAGTATGTTTATAACAACAGATGCTTCTTATTCCAGAGGTGTTGCGTTTTACCATCAATATTTATACTCCGTACCACTGAAAATTAATAGGATTGGGTTCGCCGTCTTGACTTCGTTTCTTTTATCATTTTGTTGTCAGATGAGTGCTGGTATTTATCGTTCAACTTATTATTGAGTGTTGTTCCACATTGCCTTGAGACAATAAGTGACATAACTAAAAACAAAATATGACGTTATCTTTTTCTTCTTCATGTTTAAATTGATTCTTTATATTTAAAGCTACATATAAAATGAATATGATGAAACTCATTCTCAGTACTTGTAGTCATAACATATGATACATTCAAGTGACCTTTAATTGAAGATACCACAGGCCACTGCAAAGAGTTTTGCTTTCATGGTAGAAGTATTCAAATGAATTCTTCATGTGAATATAAAATAAGATACTCGTAGGTAAATGTGCGAGTTCCATTTTTGTAAAAGGAAAAGCAGCTGTACATTATATACACTAATCACTTGCATATAGGGTGTATGTCTCTCAGTTAATTCGATATGCAAAAGTATTCTCCTTGTACGGAACAATTTTTAAAACAATGCAAGCTTTTGACAAACATGTTGATTAAACTAGGATAAAAAACAGTCTAGATTGAAGTCATTTTGCAAGTTTATTGTCGATACAATGACCTTATCAGCAATTACAACCTATCACTACACACTAAATTATGTATAGGATTTCCCGTTTTTCTCGATCATGACTAAGAACATACGGCGAATGTGACCAGTCAGCAGGGGATGCTTAGTCCTACATGGCACCTGATCCCACCTTTGATGATGAAGGTCCGTGTTTGCTCTGCTACTGATTTGTATAGTTTAAATGGATTTTGAGCTTGGATACCATTCTGAATTTCATTAAAAAGCTCGGACATTAATTTACTGTTGTGAATGATTAAAGACGAATTAGTGTTGATTTTAAAGTGGTTATATAATGTTTTCTAGTGCTCCCGAATTTCTACTTCAATCTTGTTAATGTTTTTTTTTTTCGAAAAGCGAGGCTTGGTAGAACATATACTATAATTAGGTTTTTTTAAATTGTAAGGTGGATATTTATGTACTTTTATATATGTATGGTAATACAAATTGAATTTGTTTATTATAAATATAAAGAAAAGTTCTAAATTCGCGTATGATTTTGAAGAATTTCCACTACAAAATGGATAACACGAGGACATGAAAGGCATAACAAACAAGAATCTTAGATCCTGATTAACAGATGTCAGATGTCACTCACTTGTTTACATTTGTTATGTATTATTTATTTACCTTTAAGGTAATCAGAAATTTGCACACAATACATATCTTAATTATACATGTTATACGACGAAACATTTTACTCACGACTAAATTCTCATTACATATAATGCTAAATATAATGTGTACCTCTCTGGAAAATTGTAAAGAATCCTTTTTAACCTCATATACCAACAGAGGAGTTGCAGAGTGTCTCGTGACAACTAATTTGCATAACCACAACCTCCCTGTCTGAAGTCATTATCTTTTATGATGTGGAAGTTCATGAAGAGAGGTCTGTTTTAGAATTACTAATTGTTAAATTACAAGGTATGTTTTTCATCTTTGTCTTCATTTAGACATAATCATCATATTGGATTTTGTGTTTACTTATAGCTTGTTGGTATTTTCATTAACTTAACTACATAATTAACATAGTAGACATGTTTCACGACTTTGTAATGTAAGTGTATGAAAAAGATAAGAATAATATGAATTATTTTTCCCTTTATCATAGCTAAATTTGTCTTTGAAAAGATTGTATTGACAATATAAAAAAAAGTTGTAACAATTTTAAATCTGCGTATAAAATATCCGGACTGAAAGCCTAGAGGTAAATTATTAAGCGAGGGACAAGGTCTATATATAATAGGATTTATGTTCGTAATTAATTTGTCTGCATGAATTTTGTACAGCAGTTTATTTGTGGCTACGTAGTATTTCTTTGCAAAGCAGGAATGGTTTTTTTTTTATAAAACAACATTTTAAGAATAAAAATTAATTGAATTTCAAGAGATGTAAATTGCGTATCCAATTTCAAAGCACCAATAAATTCAAAGTTATTCTTTCAATTTGAACGTGATTATGATTATGATCTTTTTAAATCTGTTATTCCAGAACTGTTTTTTCCACTATGGACCATTTATTTTGCTGTGTTACTATCTCCTTTTCCTTAAACGAAATATGTGGATATAACGACCAGTATTCGAGTTCTAAGTCCATTTTAAATAACTAAATAGAAGCAGAGCACACACGGACCTCCAAACTTCAGATGTGGGATCAGGTGCCATGGAGGAATGAGTGTCCCCTGCCGACCGGTCAGACCCACCGTGTTATTATTGTCCTGTTAAAAAACGGAAAAATCCGTGGACTACTAAATGGGTACATAATGGCCTAACAATAAGTATAAAAAAAAAGATTTAACTTATTGACAAATTGTATTTGTTGACAAGAGCATTGTTTCGACTATCGAACTTACGAAATGATGACTCTAAATGACACTGCTTATTCTTTCTTCATCAACTTGTTTGTCAAAAACTTACCTCGTTTTAGAAATTGTTCATATGTGGAACATGCTCTTTCGTATCGAATCAGCTGAGGGAGAAAAAAATCCGTATGCAGGTTACAAATATTTATTAGTGCATAAGTAGGGGAAATGGACGATTGGAAAGTTAAAGTAATTACGTTCATCATAAAGCTTTATTGTTAGATACTAGTAACTATTAACATCTTTTTCTAGTGTTATATCCAAATAAACGAGTATATTTCGTCCTAAATGTATCTTCTACATGTATATAGTGACTGACTTCATTGTTTTGGATGATATATTTGTATGGTAGATCATTTGTCTGTCTGTTCAGTATAAAGGGTTCACCGCTGGAATGACCAGTCAATGCGGGTACTTCCTCCACCTTATCCCATGTCTGTAATTTGTAGGGGTTTCTGTTTTATGCCCGTTTAATTGATTTGTATTGTTTTTATTTTTATCACTATTCCTTATCTTCACCCATTTTAATGAAAATGTATTCGTTTGCTATGAAAATTTATAGTATAATACATAAAACTGAACAAATTAGACTTGGAGACAATGTATCATTAAAATTGAGTAAATAAAATTCAATTCATAAAAGAGATAACAATATCACAATCTTTGAAGAACGCACATAGACCAGAACATTCTACAGAGCTGATGTATTTTTTCTTGGCACTGATTTTACATGTTTTAGTTTACTGTGTTAAAGTCATTTCACTTATAATCCAGCTTTTTAAATGGAAAATCCGTGTCCTAAACGTGTTTATTAAGATTTACAATGATGTTAATATTACCTTATATTAATAACAATGCTCCAAAATATAGAGTTGCACGTTACTTAAGCAATATACTCTGATTCTATGACTGTAACTTTAATGAATGCATACTGCCACCTTTTGAATAAATGATGTCTTTATATGGGTGGAAAAATATATAATGATAGGTAAAACAACATATAATCGATCATTCAATTAAATGAAAGAGCACGGTCCTTAAGATTGTACAAAACCAGTTTGAATTTTTTGATATCCCAGAAGGCAAGGAATATTGATTATTTTTCAATTAATTTGATATTTGTTTTAAATTCTAGTTCAAAAGACTATTTAAGAATCTACCCATATTATGCTCCTAAAAATCTAAAATAGAAAAATATGTGTATTTCAGTTCTTTTGAGATCAGAAACAACTGAATGATGGATTCCAAATACATCGCTTTATTTGCATTGTACATTGCAATAAATAATATCTATGGAATTGTGACACCAATACAAGGATCAAACAACAACAACAACAACAACAACAAATCAGTCAATACCGAGACAACAATGAATTCTACGAATACGTCAGATGCAGTCGTTGGAAAAAGTGGGTTGGATTTAGCTCTTGGCATTAAGCTTCATCTCAAGTCAAAGGCCCCTTCTGTTAACTTAAATATCACCAATCTGAAAACCCTTTGTACGATTATCAAGGATTTGTGAGTACATTTCTTTCTGTATTTTATCTTTTTGGTCTTTTTTTCTTATACTTGATTTTTACTTATAAGAGGACACACTTCGTAATGCATAATAGAAATCATCTGATTATCTTTTTACAGATGCCAAAACCAGTATGACAGTTGGGGGAAATAAGGAAAAACTTCGGAATTTTTGTCACAGGCGTCAATGTCTTAAGTCAAATAAAACAGTTACTAGTTTCTGATTGTGTGTTGTTGTTAGATTAGTGTCTTTATATATACTTGTGTTGCAATAGTCTTTATTAGTTATCCAGGTTCAATCAAGGGTGTACGGGGATTTACCCCGGGTTTTATTCCATACACCCTGAGGCCGTAGGCCGAAGGGTGTATGGAATACAACCCGGGGTAAATCCCCGTACACCCTTGATTGGACCTGGATAACGAATTTATTTCCTTTGTATCCATGAAAATGCTTTGTAAACATCAAAGTGTGTCTCAATCTATCGATTAGATAACTACGTACTACAATACATCGTGACGTCACGTTATTTGGTTTTTATCATAGAGAATGTATGCATTGTGACGTCACGTTTTATTTACACCCGGCTCAAGTCGGGTGCACGGATATTTACACCCGACTTTGTAACCAATCAAAGCTCGTGTTACAAGCTAGATAGGAAATAATGCTTTTTACTCCAAGCATCATCGTGAATTATGGTCAATAACCACTGTACTGCCGTGTACTCCCATTCGTGACCTTCAAATTCAAAATGTTCCTAGATCGGATCATTGACTTATTTGGTCTTGCATGGACGAATGGTGGTACACTGTAATTGTTGATTCTGCAGAAAT